ACTGCACCACGAGGGCTCCATTATTCCTAAGAATAATTGTAAAGTACAGCTTACATTAAGTTCTTGGATGAAAATGGGCCACCGTGTCCTCATCACAGCCCCACCGAGTCCTACCTGGCAGATGCTCTGTGGTTTTCCACACTTAGTTTCAGTTAGTCAGAGTTTTGTTGTTGTTGTTTTCCATATTAGAATCACCCCTTCAGAGCTCAACGTGGGCTACTGTGCGGGGACCAAACCGAACAAGAGCCGTTGGTTATTTAAGGACGCTCCTCCGACTCCACGGTCCATTCATCCTTCTCAGATACAAAAATAACACATTGTTTTATCTCCGAGTATAAGAGTCCTTTTTCAAAGGAAATCAAAAGGGCAGACAGCTTCCTTCCTGGCTAATTCATGAAGCTCTTCTCAAACGTGTTAAACACAGACACAACTCGATTGCCTACTTTCACTTCCTAAACCCAACTTGACAAGATGGGTCAGTGTGACAGCTCCATGCACATAGAACAGCAAACCAACCACCACAGTGGGACCAGGAATGACTCAAACTCTAGAACAAGACCCCAATTATCGGGCATGACTACGGCAACTGCTTTCCACAGCAACCGGGGATCACATTTTCATTCAACAAGCCCAAAGGACGTTAATTCCAGACCCCGCATCAGACTCAAATATGCAGGCTGTCCTAAGAGCCACGTAACACCAACTTTCACAAAGATTCTATTGATGCAAAAATTACATCCTTAAATGGAGCCAAACCTGTTTCCCTCCCACTTCACCACCATCTTCCTTCCGTGTTTCCAGTGATCTTTTCTGATGTATCAAAAACCCAGGCGAGATGCCTCCTCCTTCCACAGATCAACACTCACGGCAGCTGCAGGGATCTCTTCTTTGACCAAATACCCAGTTGCCCAGCACTAGACTGTCATTGCCCTCTTGTGGATCTGGCTCCGTTGACTTCCCTCTTATCACTGAGCACGGTTTTTCAGGCGTGGTTGGATGACTGCAAGACCAGGCTGTGTTTTCAGTTACCCGCAGTTTTTAAGCAGAGAGCTTGGATCCAGCTGTCATTATGAAGGACAGCAAGGGAGGAGGCAGGAGGGCTACAAAAAGCTGGCCCGGGAATTCAGAAGTGTAGCAGTTGAGAACCACAATGGTAGAAAGTTTGTAGCCACCTGGTAAACTCGAGCATTGCCCTCAATAACACTCAAGGTTAACACAACATGAGGGAAAAGGCCATGAGTCAGAAGGACCAATTCATCAGAAAATGCAGTGGAATTTCGATGGAAAATGAAACATCCCCATGGGAATAATTTAGAACTATTTAGACTTGGTCCTTGCCAGGGGGGACATCAGTGTAGACAGTCCAGTGTTGTTTTATAACACACTGTCTTCTCCCTTCCTGCCCCTTCATCTGGCCAATCCAGCGTCCTCCGAGGCCACTCCAGAGGTCAAGTCACACCCCATGTCCACTGCTGCTGTCAATCGTAGCATTGTGTAGTCTCTGATATAACCCAGTGTTTCTACTTTACCCTTAGAAAAAGCACAAAGTGTTGGTTGAGCTGGTTCTATTTCTCTTACGTACACCTTAATCTTCCAACGGAGTTTTCAAAGCACACCCGAGTTAGGCTCATGGTCTATCCTTCCATGCCCTTCATTGTTGTGGGGTGATGACAAGTCAGTTGGGGCTCATAGTGACCCCATGTGAGAAAGCAGAGATAGCCATAGGGTTTTCTAGGCTGTAATCTTTAGCTGATCACCAAGTCTTACTCCCATGGAGTCAATGGATGGGTTCAAACCACTGACTTTTTGATTACCAGCTAAACCTTTAATCACTGCGCCACCAGGGCTTCCGACCTACACATTACTTCCCTGCTTAAAATTGCTTAGCGGCTCCCGATTGCCTGCTCTCCTCACCTGGGCACACAGGCTCCTGGACCCCTCTCCAGCCTCACCTCTTCTTCTCCCTCACAGCCCCCACACTCGAACTGTCCTCAACTACTTGTGATTTCTAGAAAGTTCCGTGCTCTCCTGCCCCTCTGCCCTCACACAACTTTTCCCCTTTGTCTGGACAGCCTTCCTGCCATGTGTTCTTGGCTCGGCCAATCCTATGCATCCTGGGAAGCTCACCTGTCACAATCTCCTTACCTGGCTTCCTGTCACTCCATCAGTGTTCCCTCTGCACTCCCGCAGGAGGTGCCTCTAATGCAATGCTGATCGTCGGGAATTACTCATTGTAGTGAGTAATACACATTTACCGGCTTCACCTACTTAGAAGACCACCATGGAATGCCAAAGGAAGGAACTACATAGGTATACTGTTTAGAGCAAGTGAGCAAGAGAAGCCACACTGGACTGGTCATGAACTCAGCAACTATTTCCTCACCCAGGACTACGAAGCACATAAGAAAAGAACCACATGCTGGGCTCAGCTCCAAGCTCTCAGGTCCCCTGGCCACTGCAGACCCACAGTCCTGCTAGTGGAGAGTGGGGACAGACCTGGGGCCAGGGAAGGCTGCCATGGGATGGGGGATGGAGCATGAATCCAGTTTTCACCTCAGGTCTGAGTATAAAAAAAATTCATTGCCATCGAGTTGATTCCAACTCATAGCAACCCTGTGTAAAAGAGTGGAACTGCCCCAGAGGGTTTCCAAGGCTGTCAATCTTCACAGAAGCAAAGCCCAAACCACACCCACTGCCGTGGAGTCGATTCTGACTCACAGCGCCCCTAGAGGACAGAGTGGAACTG